TTTCTGTCCAGAATTAATATTACATCATTTAAATAACATTTATGTGTAAGTTTTTCAAAGCTATGGTACACTGTAATTAAGCAATGCTTGTGTTGGAAGCTATGTATGTCCAAACCTTCGTTGTCTTGATGTAAGGAAATGAGTTGTGGCTAGGAAGATTATAGTATTTGAACCCAATAATACAAATACAGTTTTCTAACTGTTTTTATTCATTCTCAAGATTTGGCCATGACTGGCCAGTATTTATTACCTTCCCTAATTGCCCAGGGGCTAGTTACATGTCAACCACATTATTATGGGCTTGGAGTTACATGTAGGCCAGACCAGGTGAGGATGGCAGTTTCCTTCCCTAAAGGACATTTGTGAACCAGATGGGTTTTTCCAACAATTGGCAATAGTTTCATGGTCATCATTTGACCCCTACTTCTAGATATTTGTTGAATTCAAATTCCACCATCTGCCATGGCAGGATTTGACCCCAGAACATGACCAGGTTTCTGGATTAACAGTCTAGCGATAATGCCATTTGGCCATCACCTCCCCTAATTTATACTCCTGATTTTTAAACGACCTATTTGTTAAAGCGAAACCTGTTCTCGCAAATGTTAATCCACCAACTGAGGAAAAACAATACTGATATGTTGTGCAACATGGCCTCAGTGAATGTTGAGAGTCACATAACACTGTTCAGTAGTAATAATGGCAGCTACTGGCAGATCCTTAATGAAGAAAAAAAGGCAATGTTTTATAATTCTCTGTGGTAGGTTTGCAGATTGCTGGTGGCTGAGGTGAAGAGGGGTTCAGGAGGGGGCATAAAATGCATGTCATTGCTGCTGCCCACATATCAGGCCCCGACCTGGCAGCAATTTTACTGGTGGTCAAATAATTGCCACCTCACTGCAATTTGTAGACAAGTGGGAGGAGGATGGAGGGAAAAGCCCAGATGGTGATCCTCAGGTGGAAAAGTTGGAGGTCGCCTCATGGGCAATCCTTCCTGAACAACACCTCCATAATCTGCTCCCCTGGGCAAACCCTCCCCCTACTGGTCTTTGAAACCTGGCTCCTCTCCACCTATCCTCTCCTCTATCCCTCTTCTATCCGCCTCCCACTCTCTCCCTATTTATTTCAAAACCCCCTTCCCCTCCCCCTTTTCTGATGAAGGTTCTAGGCCCGAAACGTCAGCCTCTCTGCTCCTATGATGCTGCTTGGCCTGCTGTGTTCATCCAGCCCTGCACCTTGTTGTCTCCCATCTCCCCACTGTCCTGTCTGTATGGTCACAGAGTGTAGGTTTTAGGCGTGACATGAAACCAAAACTGGGGTATGCAGAAAGGGAAGAACTGACAATGCAAACTTTTAATTGTTTAGGTTGTAAATTAATGTTAATGTTATTTGCTCATGGGTCATGGTTATCACTGGCTAGGCCAGTATTCATTACCCATCCTTAATTGCTGAGAGGGAAGTAAAGAATCAACCACATTGCTGTGGGTCTGGAGTCACGTGTAGACCAGACCAGGTAGGGATGGCAACTTTCCCTTCCCCCAAGGACCTTTGAACCAGATGGGGTTTTAAGACAATTGGCAACAGTTACCTGGTAGCCATTAGGTTAGCTTTCTCATTCTTACTTTTATTGAATTGAAATTTCATCATCTGCCAAATTTGGATATAAACCCTTGCCCTGCCAGAACAGTAGCCTATGATTCTGGGTTACTAGTCTAGCAATCTTACCACTGCTCCACTGCCTCTCCTATATTTAAATTTTTAAAAATTACTTTTCATTTGTCCCTTTCTCTTCTCCATTTCTCTCTTTCTTGCCTCTCTTCTTTTTTCCATATCAAGCTTGATTTTAATTTAGAAGTTGCTGGAAAAGCTCAGCAGGTCTAGCAGCATCTGTGAAGAAAAAATCAGAGTTAACATTTTGGATCCAGTGACCCTTCCTCAGAACTGGCAATTTTCCAGCAACTTCTGTTTTTGTTCCTGATTTACAGCATCCGCAGTCCTTTCGGTTTTGATTTTAATTTACCCATTTCCTTGACCAATATATTGTCTGCTTCTGACTTTAACCTGATGTTTCATTGGCTAAGGAGGTGGACCAATAGTTTCGATGTTCAGGAGGACCTAGATGTCTCAGACATTGCAACTCTAGGACAAATTTACAATTTGTGTATTTGCAGCATTAAAATAATATGACCTGAGGAGTGAGAAAAAAGAAAAAGCATAGCATTCTTGCAATGCCTGCAGTTCCGGGCCATCAAACTCTGTTTTTTGAATTTATAGTCTGTTATTTCAACAGTGTGACTTCAGTTTGAGAATTTGAACCTCTTTTCCTGTGGTATATTTGAACCTATGACAGAAGTATCATGAAAAATATTTTGCAATTCCTCATCACATAGCACAGAGTTGAACTGTGTACAAAGTAACCAATGTCGTAAACCTAATGTAAACAAGTTCCCGATGGAATGGCAGTATTGTTTATTAGAGGATTATATATTACCTTGGCAGAGAAATATCATATTAAACAAGTATTTCAAAATTGATGAAATAATCAATAAGTCTGCCTTCATATGGCAATGTGTGACCATGGCTTCATGTCCTTGTGTGAGTGCTTAGCGTACTTCCAAGTGACTCATTGGTCGGCATTGCCAAGGCATTGACCTACTGAGATTGCACTGTGAAACTGGAACAGAACTATCATCAGATTTGGCAATGACGTAAAGGCATGAGTTCCACTAGTCATTTGAGGAGAAGCTGCGAAGTCAGAAGGATGGTGAAATGACACAGGAAGGGGAAGGGTGGGATTTTCCCTCATCTGTGCCATTTTGTCAGTGGTGGGAAAGCTGGCAGAAGGCCCATCTGTCTGGACCATGAAAATAACCAATTAAAGATGTTTTCTTGTTTTGGTTGGCATTTTACCAGCTGCTGAGTGCCCCGCTCCTGTGCGAGGCGACTGGCAGATAAACCTGAGCAGATTGGGTCTTCCTTGACTGAATCTTATAACCCGGATAATGTTAACCTGACTTTGAAGGGGCATAGTAACCATCCTCCAGGTTTAACCTGAGCAATCGTCATCAATGGCATCACTGAAGCTGCTGAGATGTAAACCCTCTGGCTGGGCCAGAAGCTTTTGGGAGCCAGGTTGCCATCCTTAGTAAAGGTGACAGCCCTGGTGGTAATCCATTGATTAAATGCCACCAGCAAAGTGCAGACCCAGGTCCTGCTATCCAACTGAGCCTGCATCAGCCACCACCTCCACCAGTGACAGAGCCACTACCACTGATTTAAGATTCAGATTTAGGCCGACTGCCTCTCAAAGCATTAATGACAATGATCTTTTACTTTTGCCACAGCAAAATATCACAGCAGTGATATTTCTCAGTGGGAAATATTGGTATAGCTAGAAGAGAGATGGGTCAGGGATTGCTCCTCCAATTGGTAAAATCTGTAAATTAACAGTTTGCTAATGTGACGTAAAAATGTAAATCTGTAACTTAAACTAGATACACGTACACATCTGAGGAGAATCCACAGAAAACGTCCTTAATTGGTTTGTAAATTTAATCCATTCTGATCATTTGCTCTGTGTCCAATTTTTGACTGGTCCCAACTCAAAGTTGCTATTAGTTGAAGGTAAAGATGACTTTCTTAAAACATGTCATTTCAAGAATTTTTAAAAATACTTTCACGGGATGTGGCATTGCTGCTAGGCCAGCATTTATTGGTCAACCCTGATCGCCTTCGAAAAGATGGTGCTGAGCTGCCTTCTTAAATTGCTGCAGTCTGTAGTGCGTAAGTACACCCAGATACTTATATGAAAGGAGATCCAGGATTTTGACCCAGGAACAGTGAAGGAAATACCCATGCATCTGTGTTTTTTTTTGTATTTGTATATGGCATGTGGAGTTGCTGGCTTGGACAGCATTTATTTTCCAGACAGCAATAAAAGAGGCAACTGCATTGCTGAGGGTCTGAAGTCACACTAAGTTTAGTCCAAGTAATGATAGCAGCAGATTTCCTTTCCTAAAAGGACATTAATGTACCATATGGATATTACAACAACTGATCAAGGTGATGTAGTAACCATTAGGCTAGTTTTTTTTAATTCCAGATTTATATTGAATTCAAATTTCACCACATTCTAGAGTGGGATTCAAACTCATGGGCCCAGAACGTTAGACTGAGAATCTGAATGACCAACCCAGTGATACGTCTACGCCCTACCTCTCTTCATTTGCCCTTTTCCTTTTAGATGATAAAAACTTTGAAAATTTGGAACTTGCAGTCAGAGGAGCCTTGGTGAATTGCTGCAGTGTATTTTGAAAATGGTACACATTGCTACTACTATGCATTTGTGAGGAAGGAAATGAATGGTGCACATGATAGATAAGGTACCAATCAAACAGGCAGCTTCGGCCTGCATGGTGCCATGTATTATTGGAGCTGCACTCATCCAGGCAAGTGGAGTGTGTTCCATCACACTTTTGACTTGTGCCATGTAGATTGTGGATAAGTACTGGTGAGACAGGAGGTGAGTTACACGACATGGAAGACCTAGCCTCTGACATGCTCTTGTTGCTACAGTATTTATATAACTAGTCCAGTTCAGTTTCTGGTCAATGTTACCACCAAGATGTTCATATTCAGGGGTTCTGTGATGGTAATTCCATTGAACATCAAAGGGCAAGGGTTAGATGCTCCCTTGTTGGAGATGGTAATTGAGTAGCACTTGCGCAATGTGAATATTATTTGCCACTTCTCAGCCTAAACCTAGATATTGTCCTGGACTGCTTCAGTATCTGAGGAGTGATACTAAACATTGTGCAATCATCCACGAACATTCCCACTTCTGACACATGACAGAGGGAAGGTCATTGATCATGCAGCTCACGATAGTTGGGCCTAGGACACTAGCCTCAAAAAAGAGAAAGAAATACTGTAAGAAAAGAGGTACAAAAAAGGCACAAATATGTTTTTGTAATACAATTACCTTTTTTTTGCCTTATTAGATTTGTTGCAGATTACACCTTCATCAAATAATGGATCCCATGGCAGTCTAAATCATCTGCTGAAGAATCCCTCTTATAAACCTACTCTTCCCACCGAGGTATCAGTTTCATCTGTCTGTTCACTTTCCACACTGCTTCCAAATGATGATCTGGGATGTTCATGTCACGGGTTGGTAAGTACAAGATTAGCTGTTAATTTCATGGTATATTGGATTGTACAATGTTATTTCAGGAGGCACTCAGTAAACTTTTGATAACAACAAAATGTATTCTCATTTCTTAGAATCTGACTGTTGAGGAATTGAATAAAAGCATCAATCTTACTGTTGCAGAAGGTAAGTTTAAAAGCAAAACTTAATGTTATTTTGCCATGTCAAATATCAATTCTGTAAATGGGGTGATGGATCTTAGCACATATGTTTAAATTCTAACAGTTTAAAGTTATGGGCTGGAATATAAATGATGAAGTTATACTAGAATAAATTCCTAATTAAAAGTAACTAATCCACAAGATTTAACACTGAACACATGGAAGGCCCAAAGGTCATGAACCAGAGATTCTTTAGACCATAAGATAGTGGAGCTGAATTAGGACATTCTGCCCATTGAGCCTCTCCATCACTCAATCATGGCTGATATACTTCTCAAACCTATTCTCCTGCCTTCTCCCCCTAACCTTTGATCCCCTTACTAATCTATCTCTGTCTTAAAGACACTTGATGACTTGGCCTCCACAGCCTTCTGCAGCAATGAGTTCCACAGATTCATCACCCTCTGGTTGAAGAAAATCCTCCTCATCTCAGTTCTAAAGAGTTACCTTTTCACTCTGAAAATGTGCTCCTGGATTCTAACCTCTCCTACTAGTGGAAAAAATCTTCTCCATGTCCACTTTATTCAGGCATCTCAGTATTCTGTAATCTTCAATGAAATTCTCTCTCATCCTTCTAAACTCCACTGAGCACAGACCTAGAGTCCTCAATCGCTCCTCATGTGACAAGACCTTCATCCTCAGGATCGTTCTATTAAACCTCCTCTGGACCCCTTTCAAGGTCAGCACATTACTCCTTAGATACAGGAACCAAAACTTCTCACAGTATTCCAAATGCAGTCTGACCAGAACCTTATACAGCCTCAGCTGTATATCCCTGCTGTTGTATTCTAGTTGTCTTAAAATAAATACTTACATTGCATTTGCCTTCCCAACCGTCAACCGAATCTAAATGTTAACCTTAAGAAAATCCTGAACCAGGACTCCAAACTCAGTTTGTGCTTCAGATTTCCAGCACCTTTCCCCATTCAGGAAAAATCAGAAGTCACACGACACCAGGTTATAGCCCAACAGGTTTATTTGAAATCACAAGCTATCGGAGCGCAGCCCCTTTGTCAGGTGCAGTGAGAGAGCAGAGCACACAGACCCAGAGATCAAAGGCAGAGAGATTAAAAGATCATACAACTGGTGTGAGTGGAATGTCGAATAATAAGTCTCTGCAGGTGACCAAGAGTGTTAGACAGTGAGTAAAGTGTCAACAGCTGAATAACAAGCAAAGTGATGACCTATAATCCAATTAAATAAGGCAGAGAGATAATAACAAAAAATTAAAAATAAGGTGATGATGGAGATATACTAAATGGCTAGAATAACATGATAGGTATAAGAGTCACATGTCGAGAATCTAACCAGAGTAGTAAGTAATCCAAAACTGTACAAACCAATTAAGGTAAAGGGATCATAACAATTTATCAAGGTGATGGTGTCAAACAGCAGAGTAAGGAAGATTTTACAGATACAGAAGTGTGGTGGGGTCACATGTAGTGCGACATGAACCCAGGATCATGTTTGAGGCCGTCTTCATGGGTATGGAACTTAGCTATCAGTTTCTGCTCGGTGATTCTGTGTTGTTGTGTATCTTGAAGTCCACCTTGGAGGACGTTTTCCCAAAGGTCGGAGGCTGAATGTCCTTGACCACTGAAGTGTTCCCCGACTGGGAGGGAACATTCCTGTCTGGCGATTGTTGCGTGGTGCCCATTCATCCATTGTTGTAGCATCTGCCTGGTATCACCAAAATACCATACCTCGGGGCACCCTTGCCTGCAGCGTATGAGGTAGACAACATTGGCCGAGTCACATGAGTATCTGCGGTGTATGTGGTGGGTGGTGTTTCCACGTGTGACGGTAGTGTCCATATCGATGATCTGACATGTCTGGCGGAGATTGCCATGGTAGAGTTGTGTGGTGTTGTGGTTGATGGTGTCTTGAAGGCTGGGTAGTTTGCTGTGAACAATGGTCTGTTTAAGGTTTGGCGATATTTTGAAGGCAAAAAGTGGAAGAATAGGGATGATCTTAGCAAGATGCTCATTGTCATCGACAACATGACGTCCAAGGCGGACTCTGAGATACACAACAACACAGAATCACCGAGCAGAAACTGATAGCCAAATTCCATACCCACGAAGACGGCTTCAACCATGATCCTGGGTTCATGTTGCGCTACATGTGACCCCACCACACTGTAAAATCTTCCTTAGTCTCCTGTTTGACACCATCACCTTGATAAATTGTTATGATCCCTTTACCTTAATTAGTTTGTATAATTTTGGATTTCTTATTACTCTGGTTAGACCCTCGGCATGTGACTCTGAGACCTATCATGTTATTTCAGCCATTTAGTATGTCTCCATCATCACCTTATTTTTAATTTCTTGTTATTATCTCTCTGCCTTATTTAATTGGATTATAGGTCATCACTTTGCTTGTTATTCAGCTGTTGACACTTCACTCATCGTCTGGCACTCTTGATCATCTGCAGAGACTTATTATTCGACATTCCATTCACACCAGTTGTATGATCTTTTCATCTCTCTGCCTTTGATCTCTGGGTCTGTGTGCTCTGCTCTCTCACTGCACCTGACAAAGGGGCTGTGCTCCGATAGCTTGTGATTTCAAATAAACCTGTTGGGCTATTACTTGGTGTTGTGTGACTTCTGACTTTGTCCACCCCAGTTCAACTCTGGCACCTCCAAACCATTTAGAAAATTATAGTATTCCATTATCATCAGGGTATTATAAATATGAAGGGAAATTAAAGTTAAATAAGGATATTTTACAACGAATGAAACCTATGGCTTACACTGAGTTGAACAATCCTTTGCCTGTATGAACTTTCTTCCCCTGAAGCTGCCTTCCCCTGAAGACACCATTTTTTTCCACCATAGAGGTGCCCTCCTTCCCCTTTGCCATCTGCTGTTGGATATTTTGTTACAGATCTCCTTGCTTCCAACTCACATTCCAGCAGCTGCACCTAGCACACAGTGACCATTTGTGAAACAGTTGTATGATCAGCAGTTTCAATTGCACCGCGATGGCTGGAATGTTCAAGTTCACTTTGATGATGGCATCTTCATCTTGCACCACTAACCTTAACAAATAGTCAGAATTGGGTAGATATCTAACACTTGCTGCCCAGCCTCTTTTCCATACTAGTATATTTCAAAGCATATCACCCTCATTGGGGTCCAGGTGGGTCAGATCTCCAGGAGTTGTATTAACATGGGCATTTGCTTTCGTTGCTGTCTCTTGGCAAGTCCTGTGTTATTTTCCAAGGCAGGAATAGGCCAACGTACACTGGATGCATGCCCTGGATTGACAACATACAGGTCACGCTAGGATTCCACATCTCTATCTGACTCCACTTCCCATGAGCCATCAGGTACTGATGTATAATGTGTAGCATGTGGAATGGATGCGGAGCGTACTCTGCATGGGAAACTTCAACGTTCACCACCAAGAGTGGGTCAGCAGTACCTGAAGGAACTAACTTTTAGACTGAGGATGCAGGAATCATAAAGGCCGAAAAACATTATTGACCACATCCTCACCAGTCTGCCTGGTGCAGATGCATCTGTCCATGACAATATCGGTAAAAGTGACTGCCACACAGTCCTGTGAGATGACGTCCTGTCTTCACATTGAGACTAACCTCCATTATATTGTATGGCACTCTCACTGTGCTAAATGGGATAGATTTCAAACAGGTCTTGCAACTCTAGACCAGGCATCCGTGAGGTACCATAAGTTATCAGCAACAGCAGAATTGTACTTCAACACAATCTGTGAGCCCATAGTCCGGTATATCCTCCACTCAACCATTACTAGGATCAATCCTGGTTCAATGAAAAGTATAGGTGGGCATGCCAGGAGCAGCACCAGGCACATCTGAAAACGAGGTGTCAACTTGGTAAATCTAGATCAAACGATTACAGTGAGAATGAGGAATTAATAGCAGATAATTAGAAAATTGCAAATGAAATGGACAATTATTTTGCTGTGTCTTTCTTGTAGAGGATACAATAATATGTTTCAGTTGTAGCTGTGAATCAGAAGGTGGAAGGTAGAAGGAACTCAGTGAAATTACAATCATTAGGGAAGCAGTACTGAGCAAACAGACAGAAGGAATGAGTTTCCACATCCAGATGGACTTCATCCTAGGATCTTAAAAGAAGTTGCTTAAAAGAAGAAATGAAGTGGTAGACATTCTGGTGTTGATTTTCCAAAATTCCATAGATTCTGGAAAAGTTCCATCAGACTGGGAAGGAGCAAATATAACTCCTCTATCAAGAGGGAAGGAGACAGAAAACAAGAAACTATAGGCTGGTTATCTTGATACCTGGTGTGCAGAAGATGTTAGAAAGGATCATGAAAGAGGTCATAGTTGTGCCCTTCGAAAAACCAAGGTATTTGAGGAGTCATCATGGTTTCATGAAAAAGAAAATATATTTAATTGCTGGGGAGGCGATGGCCTAGTGGTATTATCGCTGGACTGTTAATCCAGAGACCCAGATAACGCTCTGGGAACCTGGGTTTGAATCCCGCCACAACAGATAGTGGAATTTGAATTCAATAAATATGTGGAGTTAAGAATCTAATGATGACAGTGAATCTATTGCCAATTGTTAGAAAAACCCATGTGATGTACTTTAGGAAAGAAAACTACCATCCTTACCTGTCTGGCCTGCATGTGACTCCAGACCCACAGCAATGTCATTGACTCTTAACTGCCCTCTGGGCAATTAGGGACGGGCAATAAATGCTGACCTAGCCAGTAACACCCTCATTCCTGTGAATGAATAAAGAAAAAAAAGATTGTTGGATTTCTTTGAATGTGTTGTAACATATAGACATATTGTACTTGGATCTTCAGAAGGTGTTGATAAGGTGCCCCATTAAAAATTGTTGCAGAAAATAAGAGTTCATAGTGCAGGGGTAATATATTAGCATGGATAACAGTTTGTCTGGCTAATTGTCTGGCTGTTTAGCAGATAAGAAAACATGCATAAA